AGGTTTTTTTTTTTTACCGAGCTTTGCTCAACTCGACTCGGACCCAAAAAAGTTAGAGCCGAACCCAAGCTTTTTTTTTTTGGGCTCAGGCACGGTTCGACTCGACTCGTTGACATAGCTACAAGCATGTAGGGATATATACATAATTTGATAGGGAAAAGTGTTTTGTTGGACTTGTGCACGAATATTGTATTTCTACATTATATGAAAACTTAAGTGAAAGTTACGAAAACTTTATTGTTAGTTAAAAAACAATTAATTATAGTTATACATTTCTTACAATTTACAATTTTTATCAATATTTCAATTTCATATTTCATCAATTTTTATAAAAAAAAATCTCATTTTACCAAGACCAAAACAGCAGGTTAAATAATAAAGTCGTATGGTTCGAATTGAATACAAGTCATTTCAATAATTTGATTTGATAGTTATCTACTCACTTCATAATTGTAGTCCTTCAAAAGACAAAATTAATTTTACAACCAACAATTTAAGAATTATGCCATTTGCACGTCGCTTTCTTTACATCATGATTGATATCATCTATGTTGTCAAAAATTGATTGGTTAAAAAAATTTGTTTCATGTTTAAACTGTCCAATAATGTAATGACACGTGATATGATGTGAAAGATGGTTTAAAATATGATGAATAATTCTCATTGTACAACACTTGGTTACAACATTGGATGACAACCTCTTACAAGGAGGTGAGACCCGTGGTCCCACCCTCATTGTGAAAGATTGCAATCCAATATTGTACATGTAGCATTCCTCCAATATGATATATACCAAGTACGATTCACAATCTAATGAAGGTTCGAAAAATGGAGCAAAAACCTGGGCTTTGTACTTGCACTCTTATACTTGGTTGATATCATTAATGGCAGCTAAATTATTATTCGAAGATTAGCCAATTGATTGTTTTTGGTACTGAATAATGAATAGCGGGTTCATTTCAAAAATTTTAGTCAAGTTGTGAAGTATCATAATTATAAATATGATTATATTACTCAATCATGCTATTCAAGTTGGCTTAAATATAGGTTCAATAATAGGGAGGACACGTGTCAACACATGATTGGACAATTTGAAAAAAATAAAAACACAACACCCAGTTATTGTCGTCACATCACACCGTTGTACAAAAAAAATTTGACAAAAAGCTTGACACACTCTCACATGAGCCGACCCCACATGAATAAAAAATTGGACAAAAAATGTGGAGGCCCCCACCCGATGTGAGAGGCCGGTCAGGGTGTTTGACTGTTTGTCACCCCTGACCGGTACACCAAGCCTCGCCCTTCCTCCAATATGATATATACCAAGTACGATTCACAATCTAATGAAGGTTTGAAAATGGAGCAAAACCCTGGGCTTTGTACTTGCACTCTTATACTTGGTTGATATCATTAATGGTAGCTAAATTATTATTCGAAGATTAGCCAATTGATTGTTTTTGGTACTGAATAATGAATAGCGGGTTCATTTCAAAAATTTTAGTCAAGTTGTGAAATATCATAATTACAAATATGATTATATTATTCAATCATGCTATACAAGTTGGCTTAAATATAGGTTCAAAAATAGGGAGGACACGTGTCAACACATGATTGGACAATTTGAAAAAAATAAAAACACAACACTCAGTTATTGTCGTCACATCACACCGTCCCTCCATCACCGTCCCTAAACCTGTCCAAAAAGCATTATTCTATCTTATTTTGAGAGTTTTCTCACCGACTTGCTTAATATAGATAACATTTACTTTGTTGTATATAACAACAATAATATACTTAATATAAGGAGGACATGTGCCAACACATGATTAGACAGCTTGAAAAAAATAAAAATACAACACCCTGTTATTGTCGTCACATCACACCGTCCCTCTATCACTGTCCTTGAACCTGTCCAAAGAGCATTATTTTATATTATTTTGAGAGTTTCCTCACTGACTTGCTTAATATAGATAACATTAACTTTGTTGCATATGACAACAATAATATACTTAGGTCTTGTATGGGAGGGATTAAAATTGAAAATATAGCCGTTATTGTTGACTTTTATTAGGCGAGTGGGACCCAATAACGGCCATATTTTCAATTTTAATTGGCTTTTAATCTCTTCCGAATGGGGCCTTAATATTATGCCACCCATTTAAAAATTATTATTTCAAAATTCTTTGATTTTTATACTCATTTTCAATCACATATTTAAACAATAAAAATTTTCCCTATTTTTAATCACATATTTTCTAAAAAATCGCTATGCAAAACTCAATTTTCTCAAAATAATGACCATCAAATATGGGCTAAATTTGGCTCAAACTAGTTGAATCACACAAAGAAACCTAACGATCCATTTGGAAAATGATAAACTAATTTTATAATACACTTCTTGACTTAAAATAAGTATATTGAAAATAAAATTTTATTTTATTTAAAAATAGAAAAATACTCGTACTATTTATTTAAAAATATTTAAAAAATAGTACTTAACATAACTGCATAATAAAATATACGAGACTTAAAAAATAATTTCTCGACGTGAAATTGTTACATGCTCGGCATAAAGAACTTAAAGATAATCAATATTTCCTTTTAAGTCACCCTTGCAAGAGGATGGTGGCCCAAAGCATATAAATTAAATAGAATAATATTGCATTGCGACATTATTTTAGTAATAAAAAATTTCATAAACAAAATAAAATAAAATATTTTAATCCTTATATTATAAAATAAAGTCGAGTTCAAGTTTTACATTGATATTTATTGAAATGGAAGTAATGTTTTAGAATATTGAGCTTTTGTTTGCTCAAGGTTGAAGATATCGATGATAAAATTTGCTCAAGTCATTCCCACCTCGTCTCTCAATTTTAAACTGGACGGGAGAGAAGAGAGGAAATCAACAAGACGCAAACAAAACACGCGCATTGTACCCTGATTTGATTTTCATTATTTTTAAAATACTTTTCTCTCTCTCTTCTTTTCAACTACACGTTTTTCAATAAAATAATATTACACGTAAATTCGATTTTTTTTACCACATTCTCTATTAATCTACCATTCAAAATGCATTTTTTAGCAAAAAAAAAATGAGGCTTAAACGTGCATATGACCTTTTAAACGATGGAAGTGGAAAAAACCTTCGGGAGGATGATTCTACATTTAGAGACGATAGGATTGTCCATTCAAACGACAATACATATTTTTATGTTACATTTAATTTTTATTGCACATTTAAAAAAGGCTTTGCTACTTGTACATCACAATGTACGTCGGGGTCCCACCCCCCATGTGAGGGGAGTGTAGCCTCTTATGTATAAAAGTTGATGTGCAAGTAGAATTTTTCATTTAAAATGCACATGTACATTGTAAGCAACGAATGACTACTTTCTTGTAGTTTAATTATTCTCCATGCGCCCATTTTTTAAATTTACTTTTCTTAAACTCATTTTTATCGATACATTATTCAAATAAAATAATTTTTTTTAGGTCAATTCAATAATTTTTTAACTTTTAATCACATATTTTTTTAAAATTTACTTTTTAAAAATCATTGGAGTGGAAGTTCTACCGTGTATATAGGAATCAGGAAGTGCTATCTAAGTTTTTCTCACTGAAGTGCCACAAACATAAAAAGATAAGGACTGAAATTGAAATTTTAGTATTCAAGTATTGCATTACATAATAGGCTAGGGACCTCCAGTGCAATGTTTCTTAATAAAAAGTTAAAAACAAAAGAAATCCTCCATCTTCACGCATCAATTCTGATAGTTGAATATCAATCGATTAATTTTTAATGCTACAATCTTACTAGTTACAGAAAATTCATAGATACTGCACAAATTGATCATTGTTGTTCAATATTGAAGAAAGGGGTTGACTTTGAAGAGTGGTAAATTGCACTGCAGTAGTTGTACCTCACTCGATCAGAACTTGCAATGAGATCGGGAGCCCAGTCGCTGGAAATGTGGAGAGGCAAAAAGGTCTCGATCTTCATTGTAATTGCGTGCACAGGCCTTCTCTGCAGTGCTTTCAATGGTGCTCTTGCTACAGTACCCGAATTAGGAACCACCCGTGTTGTCTTTCAGGTATAGATTTATATATACACACACTTGCATATGTGTGTGTTTTTATTGATTGCGGTATTGATCACATGATCCTGGATGATTTTGAAATATTGGGATATTCAGTGTAGATAAATTAATACTTTCGGAATCATGAATGCAACCTTAATATATGCATGTTCAATAGGAAATGACTGACTATTTGTGTTTTCTGGAGAAATTTGTTTATTTTTTCATTGGTTAGAAGAAACTAGAATTCTTGAAGCTGGGAATTTACTTCTTTGAGTTAAATCATTAAAAAAGTGAAAGAGAATTTCGAATTATATTTTGATTTTCAACTTGTAAACTTTTTGATCTTTCAGAATTTGGACATTTGCATCCTATTTCTATTCTGCATTTTCTGAGTGAGTTTTCATGCCTTGAAAGAGCAGTATTTTTTAATACTCTTGAAGCAAGTTCCATCTTCCAATTGGTTGGGACAAAAAATCTTGGAGGAGTTCAACTAAAAAAAGGAGAAGAAAAGGTTAAAATCATTGAGAGCATGTACTGAAAGAAAAAACACTTCATGGGCAAAAAGACTAACTTAATTCAACTTCTTATTGTGAGAATTCGGTTCGATGTGGTGTCATAAGTGTCGGGGATAAAATCCCACGTCGAATAAAGTTAAAAATATTGACCAATTTATAAGTGTTTGATCTACTTCTCTTAATAAGACTGACCTTTTAATGTGGAACCTTAAGTTTTAATATGGTATTAGAGCCCATTAAGCTCCAACGAGCAATTTAATCTGATTGAGCTCCCGTTTACCCCATTATTCCACATTATAAAGGGAGGAATAATGATTTTTTTTTTTGAAAATGTGTAGTTAAAAAAGAAGAAAAAGTTTTTAGGTTTACATGTAATATTATTTCATTGGAAAATGTATGGTTGATAAGCAAAAAAAGAAAAATAAATTATAATTTAATGGGGAATAATGGGAGCCAAACGGGGGCTAAGTCTAAAATGTGAACACATGGATTTCAAAATTGGTCTGTTCAAAACGAGTCATCATCTTGCGGGACATATTAAGAGATAAAATCTCACGTCGAATAAAGATTAAAACATAGACCAACTTATAAGGGTTTGAGCTACTCATTTTATTAAAATGGAATCCTAAACTTTAATTATAAGCTGCAATGTAGAGTTTTAATGGATGCTATGTTGATTTAGTGTGGACAGATTAAAAATTGTCAGGGTTTTGCTTTGCCTCTTAATATATTCTGTTATCCATGAGGTCTTTTAAAAGCTACGCAGACAAAGTATGGGGACATTGAATTTGGTTTCTACCCAAAATGTTGCACCAAAAACGGTTGAACACATCTTCAAGCTTGTTCGACTGGGATGCTATAATACCAACCACTTTTTCCGGGTGATAACTTTGGACTTAAGAAAAGTTAATACTTCTGAGTTGATTATGACAATGCAAAGTGACTGACGGAAATTGTTGACTGTAAAGGTAGACAGAGGGTTTGTTGCCCAGGTAGCGGATGTCGTTGGAGGAAGAAGTGCTCCTATGAATGCAATGCAGAAGTTGGAAGCTGACAAAACTGTTGGTGAATTCAGTGATGTCAAACACGTAAGAGGTATTCTTTCCATGGGAAGGTAAAGTCTGCTGCTAAAAATTTTCCTCGCTCAAATTCTTATAGATTTCTTTTTTCTTTAAGTTTATATGCAAATTACAACTAAATAATATTACTTGATTTCACTTGGATTGTGTATCGCCAAAATTTAATTGATAAATAGCACAAAGGAGTATGACGTTTAGCTATGAATATTATTACTGGCAATGATAATTGTGAAGGGGTAATATGCTAAATATTCTTCGAATATGTTTTAACTTTCCACATGACATAAGTCTCACATGATAAACCTTATAATCTTTTCAATAGTTTAAATAATAACGTCAATTCACTGGGTGAGGGTGCCTGCTAATATTTGTGTCATCATTATGGATGTTGATTGGTAGTCTAATCTGTTCTGCTTCTTCATATTTGCACTATAAATTGCACATGATGTGTTATAGCTTGCAAGATGGGAAACTAAATTATTGGTATGCATACACTGATTAAAAATAGTAATACTTTTCTAATTGTCTGTTGATTTACCTCTTCCCGCCATGACATTTTATAAGTTCAACTTTGCTGTGCCTTGTCATAGATATTCTGACCCAGACAGTGCATCCTCCTCCTTCTCAATGCTCCTTGGAGATGCCCCTCACCTTGATGGCCAGGTATGATGGAAAAGTTTTTAGCTCTTTATTTCTTTCTTGTATATTTCTGATGCATTATGTCACACATGGCATATTTTTTTGAATGCTTTTCAGTATGCTATATTTGGTAAAGTTACAAAAGGTGATGAAACTTTGAGAAAGCTTGAGCAACTCCCTACACGGAAGGAAGGAATATTCATAATGGTATATTTTATCATCCTCACGTTTTCAAATATGATTTAATTTACAACACGGGAACGTGGTTTAATTACAATGTTCCTGCTCCTCAACATGTAGATCAGACTTTGTTGAATAGAGGCATAGACTGCCTTCAAATGTGCTTCTACCCCTTCCTAGTTGCTTAAAAATTGATAGCATGCTTCCATTTATAATGTTAGGAACATAATTGGGAATTGAAAACTACTAAAAATGCATTTGTTTCCTATCCTCAATGATCTAGCTTATTCATTAAGGTGGTCCTGCTGCTTTGGACTAGCTTATCATTCAGTTTGTAATCCCTTCAATTGTTCAACATCACTGTTTAATGCAAGATGTGCTGTTCGGAGTTTTCTGAATGCTGATTTCAGATGTAAGTTTTAGTTTGGTACCAACAAATTTATGCTTCTGAACTTTTAAGTTAATTCTTGATAGTTATTCGTATTTAATCGGAAGTGTTACTATTAGTGAGCTTCTATTTGATTACTAATTAGTAATTATCACGGTTTCCAATTTCCTTCTGATATTTGTTTTCTGCCTTAAGCTTACTTCCTCCCTTTTTTTCCAGCCAACTGAGCGCATCACAATATTGTCATCATATTATTATGGTAAAAACTTAGCATCCTAACAGGTCATTTTCTGGCCATTTTCGATTAATCTGACTCGGGCATGCATGGGAATACCAGCAAACAGTTCTTTAATGGCTCCACCTAGAAAATTTGTTTCTTTGATATTCAACTAATCCACAATCACAATTCCAAACTATTAGGTAGTTTGTTTATTGTTATTGGAAATAATGCAGGATTTACTAGTTTAGCCGTTCGCCTTATTTTAGGTAGAGTGGTAATTGTATATGGCTTTACTGTTGTTTTTCTCTGTCTTCCCCTAAGACTTCAAATAGCTCAATCACTTGAATTAGTTTGACCAGAATTCTTCTTTGATAAACTGTCCATTGAATCAACTTTGTACCAGTCAGAACTTTACATTTAATATTTAGCCATGATAACAATTATACGGCGTTCAACATTATATGATCATATTTGATTTTTTTTTTCTTGTTTTCCTAATTTCCCATGCGTTCTTTGACATGGTCATGTTTTTTAAAGGAATGGTTGCTTTTCTGATATCCAGCTCAGGTTTAGTATTTGGACAATTCTTTCTTAAAACACTATTACAAGTTGAACAGAAAGTTTGTGAATCATGTATCTGAAAATCATGTTGCAATTTGATGTCCTTATTTCAATATGGAGCAAAGTAGTGCTTTAATTATCTCCTTTTTCTTGGATTGTCTATGTCTTACTGCAGTTTTTCCATGCTTAATTCAATAAAATTCTTCCTTTTTTGTATTTCCTTTTATTGCCACCTGAATTAAGTATTCATTAATCCACTGTCATTTTGTCAAAATAATATGGCTTTTGGAAAGTATAGCTTATTGTGATTTATTGTAGATACCAAGGCGGAAACTTGTGAAGACGACAGGCTAATGTTGGAACGGAGGCTTGCTGCATCTGCTGTTGAAATTGAAAGACAGGTATTCAACTACTATCAATTATTCAGATTTTTTTCATAAGAAATACATTTTAGGTTATACCTTTGACCAAGAACTCTTCCAATGGATAAAGCAGAGAATGAAATGCTTTTCATAAACTGGTGAGAGAAATTCAGGCCAACCGGATTGCTATTCCATTTGCCTGGCGGATGGAGGGGGCAGGTATTTGTTTGGTATAGGAATTAGTATTCTTAATATGCTCAGCAGCAATAATTGTCTTCATACATGAGGGTGACATTGTCGTATGAATTAAATGTCTTCAATACACACCAAATCAGTTATTTTTTCATTTTTGTTAAATACAAACATGTGCTTGTGAAATCACATTTTCTCGTTGCAAAAAGCAGCAGCAGTATATTGAGCCTAACTGGACCACCTGTCCTAAAATTTAAACCGGAATCCAAGAACTTTCTCGTGAGTGATTGTTCTTGCATAATTATCATGTGCCTTTTCTGTATAATGATGTTTAATATGATATCTAGATCTGGATAGTAAAACTTTGTTTGTTGCCCAAAATTTACCATGATGATCAATTGATGAGTAGTTATCTTCCAGGGAGAAGGTACATAGGCAATACACATTAACTGTTATAGATCTAAATTTTCCTGAGCATACTACTCAGTCCATTCACATATCTCAACGGTGCTAATGTTTTTCGTTTCCTTTATTTATTACCACAAAGAAATGTGACTTGTAGAAATTTCGTCATGCTTTAGTTTTTATTGTAGTGGTAACAGTATCTTTTGTTACATTTCAGCAAATCATAATTTGAGATGAACACCTTCGCTTCGGAATGCAAGGTGCATTTTTCTAGATGTTCCCATATGTTTTTCAAGATCCCAACAAGGCCTTAGAAAATTGCTATTTGACACATAATAGGAGCACAGCATGATCCTCCTCATTTATGCGCACTTCAAACCAGAATCCCATCAATGCCTGCAATTTGGTGTTATTAAAATGGATTGGGCGCCCAAGTAAGGTCCAGCTCAGGCCATGCAGTGGGGCGATCTGCCCCTAGAGCCGTTCTTGACTGCGGGGGACCAGCCCAATGCTGGCCATGCTATGTCTAGATAGGCTCACACGGCCTTGTTGAGAGGGTGGCTCAACACGGTCCAACTGATACTTCTAATGCAACTAGATAAACATTTCGACATTTTGTCATCCAGGGATCAGTGTCTAATGATGGACTGGGGGAAACACGCCACATGGTAGAGGACTTAGCTAAGTTGAGGACTCAGTTTTGGGCTCTCTTTCTCTCTGTATATGAGGTCCCCCCCACCCTCTTTATTTTTGTATGTGTGTGTGGGGGCGCGGGGGTGGAATGAAAGGTCCATCGTTGACAATGCCTATAATTATGTATAGCTAGATGGGTTGTTGGGTGTATTCACTAAGGACTGCAAATTATATGGGACAAAGAAAACAGCAGGCATGTGGGCAATACATGCAAATGTTACTTTATTTTTGACTTGGGAAAATTTTTGATGGATACTACTTATGAATAGTTGCAATGTATCATCATTGTATATGCAAAAACTCAAATTTTGATATTATATGAATTTAGAGTGTGAACTTTCTCGAGGATAGCTCACCCGATTGAGTCAAATTTGAAAATATGTTCGATTATGGGTCACGTCTTGTTGGATAATGAGTTATTGACTCGGCTAATTTGACTCAATAAAAGAAAATTTTCATACATGAGTATATTTTAAACTTGAATAAATAGAGGTGTAAAGACGTGTGGAGCTACTTAGGTGCAAGTAGCTTAGACACATTTACGCCTAGTTTGGGTCGGACTTCGGGGGCCTACTTATAATAGTTTGTGGCTCAATCGAATAAAGATTAAAAGAGAGAAGAAAAAACATTCCCGGTGGACCCAATACTATGAACCAGTTGCTGTCCATCGTTTAGCAACAAAATAAAAGGAATAGACTATTAATCGAAATGTATATAGCATCGTTATCAAAGTGTATATTGACTTGTTATGTCAAGTCAATAGGATAATTAGGAATCAAGGATTAAATACATTAAGATGAGAAAACATAATGCGAACTTTAGTTTTTGGTTCGATTTTGAGACTCAAACTTGTATTGTAAACTTATGCTTTTCTTTTTAACAATGATTTTTGGCGATTTGATAAAATAAATAACGTCTTTTGATGACAAGTTTGACTTTTAATGGTGCCATATAGAATTTAATGTTAATTTTTTTGATGGAGTAACCTTAAGTGTAACAATTAGATGCTTGAATGACTATTACTTTAAGATCATAACGTCAATGACTATTAAATAATTATTCAAAACTCCAATAATCATTTATATAGTAAATCCTTATTTATTTATTTATTTTATTTTTGAGTAAGCAAACCTTAGTTTGTAATAACTTTATATATGTAATAAAGACAGAAGGAGAAAATGACTAGTCACCAAACTTTGTGCGATGGACCGAGTACCATGAACCAATACCTAGAAAAAAGAATTAACATTAAGAATACATAGTACAAGACAAAATATCAAATTAGTATAACATAAAACACAAAGAGATTCTTGACAGTTCAATTTTATTCGTGGCAATTCTTGAGTGGATCTTGAAATCCATAATGTTAAATTCAATCAAACTCGAGCTTAAACTATAACATCCTTTTTCGTTTGGGTATGGCTTCGACTATTCCTATAGCCCACCAATTAGTTACTATAGACATATTTTAGTTAATGGGCGTATAATAGTTATACCAAGTTATCGCTGCAAACCATGCGATATTATTATGGTGAAGGATGAACAAAAATCCAGAACCTTGATTCAAAATTCTCTCGACTTATCCCTATATGAGGAATTTCCAAACAACCATAAGGGTACTGTATAAATTGTCAACAAAGTTTCTTGCTCTCCAACCTTCCAGGCAATAATACGAAGTAGATCTCATGTCACATGAGATTACCTCATCCGTAGGCTTTCCTAAACAGGTTTAGCCTCACATCGCTCCTCCTCCACCGTCTTCTTCAGTGAACTATTACCAACATTCGACATCTACAGGCTGTTACGCTTTTTACAAAAAAAATTAGTAGTGTATGTTTCTTCGTTTTCCCAAATTCATCTAGCCATTTTTCCATAGATTCTCAATTTTCGCTCACAATAACACATTTTTCGTCTTTAATACCTTAAGGGCCATCATCTAGATCGTTTTTGCAATGGATATGTTTTTCCTTAAGTGGCGATGTTGAGCAAGAGAAATGCTAGCTTGCAACTTTGCCGGTGTTTCAACACATCCCAAACCTTATCTTAGAAGGAAAAGATTCTAATTAATTATCTTGGCACTAAAAATTTATCTAAAGTAAATGCAAATAAACATAAGCATGTCATAGTTTATTACAAACGCTTCCACCGCTGTGTAAAAGCAATACTAGTTAACTAACACAAAAAAATTGCTGAGTGATCAATTATTTCAAACTTTTATTATATCTAGCTTTTGAAAATTGAAGTATAAATATGGAGATCAAGTAAACTTATAATAAGAGCTAATGGACAAAGCTAGGTCGCAGATTGGATCCAATGGCAGTCACTATTCAAAAAGATACCAAATTCAATCATCAGAAAAGCTTGAAAAATAAAATGTGCCATATGATTAGTAAGCCAAATCTATTTATTCATTAACTATTGGGAAATGTTAGTATTGGGTTTTGATGCCTAATAAATCTGGGCAATGCTGTTAAACTAGTTTGTTGGATTATACTTCATACGTCTCGACCGATGAGTGAAGTGAAACGTCGACACCACAATCGAACAAACCATTCCTACAACTTGTTCGGGCCATTTGAAGTAACCTAACTGTGTTAGTGTTACTCATTGCTGGACCCATTACCCCTGGACGGCTTTAGGGTTGATAGCCCATTTACTTGCTATCTTTTGGGGTTCTATTCCTTGACCTAAAGCCCACTCATTATGGCTTATATATGCAACCCATTTTTTTCTTGTGTGAGATAGTGTGAAAGTTTGGGGCAGCCGTGTGTTTTAAGGAGAAATGAGTTCCTTGGCTGTGTACCATCTTCTTCTCTTCTTCACTTAGCCTTTGTGGCTGGTTTAGGGCTACCAATAACATTTACACTCAGCCCTTTGTGGGTACCTTGAAGCAACCGGGATTGGGGGTTTTAGTTTAGGTCTTGGTTTGTGATTGTGGTATCGACTGTAAGTTAATTGAGCTTGGTGTTTTGGTGTGATTGGAGACCCAATAATCAACATTTGGTATCAGAGCGAGGTTGGGGTGATTTTCAGGCCAAAAACCGACCAAGATACTCCCAGAATCGCAGCTGAAAATAGGCAGAAAAAGGCAGAAACGAATCTGCCCATTTTTTCTTTTTGGACGGGACTTGCAATTTGATTTTCCCACCAAACCAGTGACTGGCCATAAAAACTGAACCCATATTCGAGATCAACAGGTGGAGGCGCTCCTGGGTCACTGATGCTTGGGGGAGACGGTCGACGGCTCGTGGCAACTCTAGTAGTTTGTTTATTTTGATTTTCTGAATGTATTGATATTTTTGGTTTAGTGTTTTAGGCTATGCAGGAAAAATTGGACGATTTTGCCCTTTGTGGGTTCAACGGTCGAAATTTTAAAACATTTACTGAATTACTTTAGGCCATAAATTGCCGTCCTAAAATTGTAAATTCACATCTCTCGTAATTTACAGACTCAGATAGGTCTGCTCTGGTAAATTGGCTTATTCCGTTTAAATTTCAGCATTAGAGCGTCATCATGTGGGGTGACATTAGGATTGAGGTTATCGTAAAAGGGTAACCATTGCTTGTACTAGAAATTTAGGAATTAATTGCTCTATTTGAAGTGTTTGGTTTTAACTGCAAGTTGGTAATTGATTCGTGCTGTAACTGATGATTAGTCTCTGTGTAGATTGAATTGGGTGAAAATTTTGAATTTTTTGTTGATATATATTCTCATTTTCAACCATACATTTTTCAATAAAATAATATTTTCCATCACATCAATACTTTTTTCTTCTTTTTCAACCACACATTTCCCATCATATCACTATTCAAAAATCAATTATTCCCCCAAAAATCTCTACCAAACACACTCTTATAATTTTT